CATTTCTAGGGTTCTTCACGGATTTTGGTGAAATTGAAGTGTTTCCAGGCCAAATTGGCCTTGGCCTCAGGTATAAAGTTTACTCTACTCATTGAGATCTTCAATTCTGTATTTTTTTGAGAATTTTTGGAAATAGTTGGATTTTCCGGCGAGCCGGGGCGGCCAACCGCCACCCGCGGCGGCCCGTGCTGCGGCGCGTGGCCAATGGCCCGCCAATGTCATTCTTAGCATTTGTTTAAGGTTCTAGGTTCAGTTTTGATAATTGATGGACGTAAATTGAGTAATTGAACCTAAGTTCGTTTCGATTCGTGGTTAGGTGAAAATGTGAATTGACGATACAACCGTCGGATCGTCACCAAACTTTGATACATTGTAATACGTAATATTTGAGGATTATAGAAACTTACGGATCGGGAATCCGATTTACGGATCTTTCGGAATTGGAGTTGTAAGTTCAAAAAATAGAATGTTAACCGTCACTTGGTTTTGGAAATTGACGGAGATCCAACCGTTGGATGGTAATGAAATTTTAGGATGTTGTCCTAGGTATATTGTGGACCTCTGGAAGTTATGGATTTGAAATCTAAGTTGCAGATCTTCTTGATCGAACTACGTAGTGACGTGTTTTATATAAGTTATATATTCTATCAATATGATTTCTGAGGTTGGATTTGATTATTGTTATAGGCGCCGATCGTCATGACGCCTTGATGTGTGGTGCTAGGGAGTTGTTGGGCGAACTCCAGGTGAGTGGGCAGTATTTCTGTTTATACCTATATACTATTGATATTTTTCCCAGAAATTGAGTTTAAATGAAAGTACGTTTTAAAATGCCATGCATGCATATTGTGAATGATATGAATTGATAATTGATGCATATATATATATATATGTGAATTGGTGCTGTGGACGCACATGTGAGTATCAAGTGAGTTTTATGTTATTCATGTGAATCATTGATGATGTGAATTGTGTTGAGAGCTCATAACCTGCACCCCTGGTGTTAGTGCTTATATTATTCACCCGCACCGTACGCTCACCTTGGATCCAAGTAGGTGCATGTCGTACAGACCGATAGAGGGTTTCGACATGCTAGTCGTACAGACCACTAGAGGTGGTTCCGACTGGTAGGTGACCTTAGATTATGTGCACAGATGATTGATGAGAGAAACACTAGAGCGTATTATTACACCATTCTTGTCGTACAGACTACTTCAGGTAGTTCCGACTTATGTGCAGAGTAGCGCCATACAGGTCACCGTTATGACTCTGGTTGGATTGGATATTGAGTTATAGAATTAACCGTACATGACCAACTATAGGGTTTCCGGTTGATTCCTTATTTCACCTGTTATATTGATGCATCCATATTCTGTTTTTGACATTATAACATGGCATACTTTCTGGTTTTGATAAAGATTGATGATTTGAGATATTTGAAGGTATATGCTATTATGCTATTTTTTGGGAAAGTATACAGGTTTTACAGCGAGGGGTTATAAATGTTTTAAATGAAATGTTTTCGAAAAACTTTGTTTTACTGACCCACTCAATTTTGTTTTTGCGCCCCTCCAGGTTCTAGATAGCAGAGCTTTGGTGGCCACGAGGAATCCAGCGGTGTTCTGACAGAATTCACAAAAGTAGGACTCACCCTCGGGTGTTTCATCTTAGTAATTGTATTTTTTTTAAGCTTCCGAACTGTGTAAATGGTTACGTCACTCTCACGTGACGGCCAGCATGCCCTCCTTCGGGACGGGGTGTGTCAGTTTAAGTGCATTTTCACCTTGTAAATGAATTGTCCAGACAATTGTCATTAAAAAAAATTATTTTTTAAAAAATTAATGGGGATTGTTATTGGCACTCTAAAAATCTCATTTTGCACTCCAAACTTTTTATAATTAGAAAGAAAAATACACTTGTAAGAAGTGTAGAATGAAATTTATGTAGTGCAAATAACAGTTCCTAAAATTAATATTATATTTAATTTCGATTAGAACTTTTAATCAATCTCGTCACTCCATGGGTTATTATCCAAAATTACAATTAATCCTGTTTCGATCACTCATGGTCCATATTATCTCACTTTTTTTGTATTTTTTATAATTTTTAAACATGTTTTACTAACAAAATTAATATGGACTAGTGGATAACCTTTTTTCAGCAATCCAAGAATCCAGGTTGTGCCACATAGTCAGAAACTCTTTTGCAGATATTTCCTTTTTTATTTTTCTAATTTATTAAAAAAAATCAAATTAATATGTACCCTCGGATTTGGAAAATCCAACGGTCCATGTTCACAGTGGACTGAGTGCCTACACATGTCGCCTGCATTTTGTTGGACCACTCGCACTCACGCGCGTGTGAAGCTTACGCGCCTAGCGCAGAAAAAATTATAATGTGGGTGACGTCAATTGGCGTCACATGGCCTCAGGCGCTAGGTTGGGCTATTTATGACTAATTGAGCAGTCGAGCTCTGCTTCCTCCCGCTGTAGCCCGATTGATTGGGCTTGGGTTGAAGAGGATTTTATGGGTTTTGGGGGTTTAATCACCCAATTGCCCAAAGCAATTGGGAATGGTAGACTTGCTCTTATAGGAATTTACAAAGCACACTTGAAGATATTCTGATTTTTTAAGGAAATGTTATTGAAACTATGAAAAAAATTATTTTACACTTTTCATAAGTGAATTTTCATTTCTAAATATAAAAAATTTGGAGTTTACAATTACTTTTTCAGAGACCAAGCAACACCCATTTTCCAAATGGACTATTACATCACTCAAACTTCTTATAACAAAATCAATCACACAAAAGTTGTTTTCTTGTTAAAAGTAGTTATAGTAAAGTCGTTAGAGTCGCTCCACGGGTGAGAATGAATAAGGTGATAGGTAATAGTAGACTAGAAATATAAAGTTTAAACTCGGTTGTAAATGTTAGTAACGTAGTGAGAACATACAAACGGTTTTATTGTAAGGAAAACTAATGAAAAAGGCTTGAAAAGTTTTAGTTTTAATCAAAAACCACGTTATAAGTTTTGTTTAATTTATATTTTGTATTATTTCGTTGAAACGTGATCGTCGTTATTATTCATAAAGTATTCAATGTACTGTTTTTCAACTTTCTTCGTTAGTGGAGTTCATCGTTTATTTCTCTAGAAATAAATTTGAGATCTGCATGTTATTCAATAATAACGACGAGTCACTGTTTCTGGACTGAAAAAAATAAACTGTTTCTGGATTTTAAGTAACACTGTTTCTGGAATCTAAGTTACTGTTTCTGGAATCTAAGTCACTGTTTCTGGATCTAAATGAAATAGACACACTATTTCTTAAATGTAAGCTATAAAAGAAATAGTGAAATTCATTGTATTTGGATTCAAAGCAAAATAAGCATCCTGTTTCTTAAATATAATCAACTGATGCATGAAAGAAAAGAAACAATCAAAGGTTAAAAGATAGATTGTTTCTTGAATCTAAGTCAATGTTTCTAGAATCTAAGTCACTGTTTTTGGATTTTGGTTCTTTTCTTTCCAGATACAGTGTTTGTTTGTGCATAGAAAAAACAAACACCGTATCTGATTTTTTTTTCTTCCAGAAACAATGTTATGTTTGGGTTTCTCCAGAAATAGTTTTATGTTTTGGTTCTTGTTTTCTTCCCTATTTACAGATGCCTGACACGTATGTACATCACCGGGACCGTATGTCCTTATTGGATCTGATTGGAATAAAATACTAACACTAAAAATTGTTTGTGGTGCAGATAAGAGGATGAGGATGAGGATGATGACGAGGAAGAGGAGGATAAGGACACGAAAAAGGTAGAAAATAGTTTTTGATGGTTTTTTATTAAACTTTGAGCCCTTTTGGTTAAATAATATTTTAGGATGATTTTTGATTAAATATTTGTTGGCTTAAGTATTTTCATTAAAGCTCCCTTTATTGTAACCCTGCAAAACCCTTTTTTGAAATAGTAAGATGTTATTGGCAGGATTGTAATTCTAGTTGAGAGCTAGTTGAATGCCATCAGACTATACACCCACTAACGGTGTGCAAATGGCTCCCTCGATTTGCTACATTTTGCATTTACACGTGCAGGGTCTTTCAATCATATTTTGACATCTGCTAGCTATTGGCTCCCATGGGGTTGGATACAATATCATATTATATATGGAGATTTTCATCCACCTTGAGCCTGTAATTACATAGAAATTAGTTGTAAATATGAGTTTACTCAAGGGAAGTGTTATTGGCACTCCAAAAATCTCATTCTACACTCTTCACAAGTGTATTTTTCTTTCCAAATATAGAAAGTCTAGAGTGTAGAATGAGATTTTTGGAGTGCTAATAACAATTCCCTTACTCAATAGTGAGAGCAATCCTAGAATTGTGTTTTGTGCATGTCCAAGTTACATTCGTTATGAAGGAAACATATATCACTACTAATTGCTTGGGCGACGAAAGGGCAAGCGTCGTGCAAATGCTAATACCGTCGTCGGAAACATTGGGCGACAAAGAGAGCGTTGCGCAAAGCTCGTGACATTAGACATTTCGCGATGGAGGAAAGCGCTTCACCGTGCCAAAATGAAGATTGTGCGATGGAATTGGCGGTCGTTACTCGTGTTTGAGCGACGAAACTAGGGCTCAACCCCCAAACTATTGCGCGATGGACATAGAGGTTCAACCCCCAAACTGTTGCACGACGGACATAGGGGTTCGACCCCCAAACTCTTGTGCGACGAACATAAAGGCCGTCGCAGTAAGATTTTAAAATTAGTTTTTTTTAAATAATTTTTATTTATTATTATTTTTTCCTTTTAAATGTTGCTAATATTGTTTTATGTAAAAATTAATTTAATGAAATTAAAAAAATTATTGACATTGTATATACAATGGAAAAAAAGTATTTTTCAATTTGAAACAATTTAAAACTAAACTAAAATAGGCAGTCGTCCACGTCACAATCGCCTGCTGGTGGTGTTGCTGCTACGTCGGGGGGGGGGGCTGGGAGGTCATTTATGGAGGTGATTCAATGTTGGGGAACTGAATCCCAAAGATTTGAAGTGCCCGACAAAATTTGGTTCATCAAATTGCTTTAGGCCGTAATTTGAGACTACTAGGCGGCAATCTGCTCCTTCAGGTTCGCCACTTCAGATGTCAGTGTTTAGACCTCTTCTATTCTCTGCCTGGAGGATAAGGTAAATAGGTCCTGAACGGTCTGATCGAGTGTGTCTATCTTGATATGAAAACTGACATCCTCAGTGGGAAACACCTCCTCGATCGAGGTTTCTACGAGAAGCTGGGAATCCACTTCCTCCAGAACGATCTGGCCCTTCTCCACCATGGTGGACTAGAAAAAAGAAGTAAACAAATTAATTTGAATATACATGCAATTAATATTAATACTAATTGAATATTAAAAAATTGAAATAACTTACATGAAGCTGCTCCGTCAGCTCATCCCCGAGCCGAACGTACACCTTCTTGAACATGTCAATCTCAGGAAACTTTGACCCCCCTTGAAAAAATTTTAAAATTGTTAACATAGATTACCAATTGTGTAATAGAGAGTAAAAAGAATGAAAACTTAAAATAAATATACGGTTACCTTACGTCGCTCCTCCAACCTATAAGAGAAGCGTTATGAGCTAGAGCAGTGAAGAAGTTTCTTCTTCGACCGATTGATCGAGTTTGCCTTCACTTTTTTCCTTTGAATTAAAAAAAAAGTATTAGTTTAGATATTTATAACAAATGAATGAAAAAAATGAAAATTATTTTTAAAATTGTACTTACAAGGTATTTCTCATCTTGAAAATGGCCGCAAAGCTACTCCCATTCATCCTAATGGTCCACCAACTCCATAGAGCATCCAACTGCTATAGCGACCTCCGGATCGTCATATAGCTCATAATACTTGTGGAGGTTGCTCTTCCTTTGGGTGAACCTACCGACGCAAAGGTCGTTGATGTACTGGGTTTGATTGACATCGAGGTTCATGAGGTCATAGTAATGTTGCAGAACTCAACAAATAAATAATAGTTAAAATTTATAATATTTGTATACTTTAATAAATTTAGTATTTGAGGTTGTAAATACTTACCGATAATTCATGAAGAACAGCTTCCTTGACTTCATATGGGACAACTTTCCATGACTCCTACATGAGAGGGCAATGATTCCTGATCATTGACCCAACGTCGCTGGCTAACACACTATTTTGCTCCTTTGTTCTTGATTGTGGTGAGAGTGGTTTGTGACGTCTTCAGTAGTCTGCAAAGGCCCCTGGTTTATTTTATTTTATTTTATTTTATTTTTTTGAACTACCAAATAAACAAAGAAAACATTAGTCGAATTCTATTTTCTACCAAAAATTCGGCAGAACCTCCCCTAAAACTATAATATTTCCTAAAACCTGAAGACAATATAACAACAAAAACAACACATCCACCCAACAATTCAAACAGTATATACCAATTGGGGACATTAAAACAAATTTACAACATATTGATATGACTTCACACTGCGAGAGCCGTAGACATCGTTGGCCCCAAAGGCGTAATCGGGGGGAGGGGGACACATGTCGTGCCCATATCATGTGTGGAGGTGGCAGCAGCATTACCTCCTGGAGAAGGTGTCTGACTGCCTTTACTAGCTGGTCGCCAGTTTGATATTAAGTTTGACATCTACAAAAACAATTAATAAAAAAGTTACATTCCACTACTTTAATCTGGTTTGGATATACTAAAAAATATCCTAACCTTGAAGCAAAACAAGATATATCTTTAATTTCATTAATACCATTAAAGAAGGAATCAAATTTTCAAATTACCCATATATGCGCAAAATATATATTCATGCACAATAGGAACATCTATAGTATCCCACATGCCTATATGTATAACCTATTTACATGCCTTATGCAAACCTATATGATACACATGAAAAAGAAAAGTTAAAAGGACAAAACATGCAAATGCGGGGAAACAGTACATTCAACCTCAGAAAAGGTTCGCCTTATCGGTCAGTTGAACTGATGAGCTTTTCCAGAACAAGGAAGTTTGCAGTCAATAAACCTTGTATTGAAAAATAATTTGCAAGACAATACAACTTGCAAGGAATCGATGAATGATGGAAGATGGCAAAGATGTACTTATTCTGGCTAAAGGTAAGGATGAATGTGTGTGTGTGTGTACTTATGTATCATATTCAAGACAATGCAACTTGAAAAACAGTTTGCAACATAATAGTCTTAATCAGAAATAACATAGTGCAAACAACACTCTCACTAATTTAGCATATCAACAACTTAATGTCTAAAAGACTTTCTTATAGGTGTAGAATTTGCCAATTATTCTAACTGGTTGGCCACAAGTATTCTGTATTGCATGCATCCTTTAAACAAACCAAAAGGAACCTTACGACATAAGCGCGTACATTCCAAATTAATATGCAAGATATAAGACAAAACAATATAGAATTAATGAACCCATTAATCTACAACATCATATCTTGATTGCAGAAAACACCTTTTGATAAAAATTTTGAAACATGCATGCTTTGGTAGCACGTTAATCAGTTTGTACAAAATACCATAAAATATCCTTAGCATGCAAATTAATCACAATCTCAATGAAAGAATATCACAATCTTTCCTCCACAAGATATCCCATCGATTCCTCAGTTTTCATTTAAAATGTATGATGGATACTCAAAATCATACCAAAAATAATCCAACAGTGAGAGCTAATAAAACCAATAGAGATATTATTTATGGTTTTACTGTTTTAAATGCAACCTTGACTACAACTTTTATAATCACTCGAAAAACTAGCTGTTACCATCATGCATTGTTTAATATGCATGTATAAATGACTTGGTAGTTACTTTTGCACAAAACAAAACCAATTCATGCAACTGTCTCTAAAGTAATGCCAATTATAGAACTTGTTACAAAAAGTTATTATGCACATTTTAGGAGATGTATCAATAATTTTAGGTCTTATAACCTGCAAAATCATTATAAAGATCAACATGTAATCATCTAAGTGCATTCTTAATCATAGTTTACAAAACAACTGTGATTTTCAAGCCTTTAACCTACATTATTTACCAACTACAACTGTGATTTTCAAGCCTTTAACAAAACGGAGGGGAGGGTATTTTCAAGCCTTTAACCTCTTGTTTTTTACTAATTGTCCCTTGGATCTCAACCATTACTTTGTGATTAAGCCACCTAATACAGAAAGGACAACCTTTAGTCTACTTCCATATAAAGCAACTAGATTTACCATTTTCCTTGACTCATAAAAAAAAATACTATAGACAAATTAAACATCAAATTCGAGAACATACGTTCAAATCCATTCACAATCCGAAATCCACCTAAAAATACTTAATAAGCATTCACAAGTTTTGGACGCATATACTAAGAAAGAAGAATGATTCAGTAGCTATCTAGACATACATATAAAAATGCCAGCATATATAGACTTCACCCAAACCAATTTAATTCCATTCATTATATATATATATACACACACACACAAGGATAACATATGGCCTCAAACAATACAAAGGAGCTAATGCAAGTTCTATATTAAAGATGCAAACATATGCTTCATAGAATTCAATTATCTTTCTCTTTGTCAATTAACCTAAGATAAGCCAAATAAAATAATCACATTTCAACATTCATATACAAACAGGGAAATCAAATTATTCTCATTCATATACGGAAGAATCCAAAAGCATAGTATAATGAAATCTAACCAGCATATGTACAAAACTAATAAGGTGTGTGTGCTCAAATATTTTGACTACAATACACAAGGAAATAAAAAAAAAACATGAGAATTCTTAACCATCCGCCTCACCAATTTAGCCACCCAAATAAATGTCTTGCCTTTTATGATTACAGATTTAGTGTTAGGGAAATTCCCCAAACCTTGTAACAGCTCCATCCAGACATATAACACAATCAAAAGAAGAGAAAAAGAAATCATAAGCACCAAGTTAAAATTTCTTTTTCCAAGAAAAATACATATATAATTGATAAACTCATTAACCCTAACTCCAAATCAGAAAATAATGAAGCATGGATGAGGTAGAGATATAATTGATAAACTCATTAACCCTACCTATACCCAGTTTTGTTTATAACAAAAAAAAAGGAAAAAAAAAAACTCTTTCCTCCGAATTCCCATTTCGAAAACCATCACCCAATAGCCACAATTCAAAAACCCTAACCCAAGATTCCCAACTCGAACCCTAAATCCCTAACCCAAGATTCCCAATTCGAACCTTAAATCCCTACATGTTCTAATTAAACCAATTCAACAGAAAAAATTGAAAAATTGCAGTAATAAATAATTGAATTAAGGGAGAGTGAATTAAGAGATACTGGGTGCTTACCTAGTAATGTTGCAGCAGCGGGGAGATGGTGTGGCGTTGGAGTGCGACGGATGCGAGATGGAGAGTGACAAAGAGACAGAGAAACACAGAAATAGTGAGAAAGGGATAAAGGGAGACACTGAGATAGCGTACGCAGATGCGAGTGAGAGCTAGAGAGAATCAGGAGAAAGGACAATGAGATGGAGAGAATCGCATGCAAAGAATGAGAGAGAGATAGAGTGAGTCTCAGATAGAGAGAGATAGAGTGAAGCTAGGCGCTGAAATGAATGGGCGCCCAATTTTGGCAAAAAAAAATAATTAAATTTTTACATGTTTGCATGACGAGGGTGTTCAAATTTTCATCGCCTGACAATTTTTAAATAAAAAAATTAATTTTAAAATATTTGCGCGACAAAAATTTCCAACACGTTGTCGTGCATATTTGTAAATTTAAATTATTATTTTTGTGTAAACAAATAATTAATTTTTTAATTAATTGTTTTACAAATTTTAAAGGAAACTTTTGTTTGTATACAAAATAAATACCATTCAATACATATCATTACATTTACGTTGCAAGTTTTCATTAATCCTTGTATGAACTAGAATAAATATCATCACTTTCGTCAGATTTAGACTCTCTGTGCTCAATCTTCACCATAATTGTCATCAGCAGCAGGATCTTGGTCCGGAATATCATACAACCTTCTGTGCTCAATCTTCTAAACTACTTTTCATCCCTTCCCGTCCTTAGGGTCATCTATATAGAAAATTTGTTTGGCCATCGTTGCCAAAATGTAGGGGTCATTGTTACCAATATTTGTTAGTGTTGATTGATAGCAAACCATTGTCTCGCGTAACACCTCCAACTCTACGTGGGTTTGTATCAACCAGCGACACTTAAACATGATAACTTGACAGCGGTCTTTGTAAAGCAATTGCACAACACATGTCAGTTTTCCATAGAAATCAATGTCTGCAATGTCGCCCACACCCAGGACATGCACCCTACTATTTTGCATACGAAGCTTGTCATCGTGATCGGCTGCCAAAAACTTGATGCCATTTACATTACAACTGGAGTACAATTCTGCGCTTAGGGGCCCAATAGCCAAGTTGTACAATTCTTCTGTGTAAGTGGGCAAATTTATGTCCTTCAATTTCTTCACCTAAATAAACAAGAAAAAAACATTTACAATTATGCAAATAACCCAAAACACAAACAACTTACATTTTCATGAAACCATCGAGGAAACAATTCACGGTGTTTTTTGGCATATAAATGTGAAGGATGTTTCCGCTTCATCAACTCTTCAT